GAATGCATGAAGAACCAAATTTGGATGGCATTTATAATAGATGAACATACTCCAAATGGGTTGAACGCATTGGGATAACAAAAGAGAAATGTTATCAAAGAGCAAGTTTGTTATATGACAACTATTTTTTGGAAATAGATTATAAGAGGGATTTAAAGGAAGGTGAGCGTATGCTACTTTACAGCTGTCATTGGGTGTGAGTTTTGCTTTTATGGTAGTAGAATTAGTTAATTGACTAAGTAGCTAGTTAGTAGTAGAACCTTCATTTTAACATTATGTCTTTTGTATTACGTGAAATAACATGAAGTAGTAGTAACTAAATATTTTTCTCTCCCCTTTCTAGAACTAAATATTCAGACATCAGTCAATGTGCTGCTAGAAAGTAGAGGGAAAAGACTAAGGAGCAACAACACCTGAACTGGAAACATGAACAGATTTGAGCATCTCCATCTCTTGGCTTTCAGGAAAGAGACTGCATTTAATTATGTGTTTGACTGGTTTTGGAAGGCGAAAGGGAGGTAGGGTTTAATTTGTTAACATGAAATGTAGACAGAACACAAATTTGCACATAGCGAAGGTGAACATATTATTTTGTTTAGGCTTTTTTTTAACGTATTTGTTATATCTTAGTATATTACAGAAAAAATATTTTGTTATTTTTTTTAAATATGTTACTCTGTCAGCAAAAATCTAATAACCCTTTTAACACCCTTCCCAACTCACAAAGAAAAGAAAGATTTACTTTATGATATCTTCTCTGGAAGGATACTTACTGAAAATACAGATCCAATGCATGAAAATACAGGTTTACTTTTCTTCGCACAAATGTAAGGCCAATTCAGTTAATTTGAGGCTTTATAATTAGCATAGTTTTAGAAACAAATACACAACATTTCTGTGTAGACGAAGAAAAGAGAATGTCACAAGAAAGGTGTTCTATGTCTTAGTATGCTATGTGAGGAAAATGAAATCTGTTCTAGGGGATTGGTATGTAACGGGGCACATTACTTGGTTTCATTTTTGCAGAGTAAGAAGAGATGTGAAAAAAATGCAGATATTTTTTTACCAGAAAGAAATCAACGTTAAAAATTATTTGATGGATTGTTGCAATACTAAAATAAAGATTCTTTATTCTTTCTACTGGCAAAAATGTACTAAGAAATAGCAGAACCAGATAAAATAATATGGAAAAAGAAATAATTGAAATGACATACTAACTGAGAAATATTTACCTGTTCATGATGTTTATCAGGCATCCATACTTACGTTTTCTTTTCCCCACGCTTCTGAGCCACCTGCTCATGAATGCCTGGCTTTAGATGTCTACTTTATATAGTCGAATCCAGCTTACATGGAGCTAGTGAAAAGAAGTAAAGCGAGACAGTTTACTCCCCAGTGTCCATTTGCCTTTTGACTGCTGTGTTGAGGACTATCACTTTTCATCTCACCCATACTCAGACTATTTTTCTGTCTCTTGTGCTAAACCAGAGTTAGTGTTCATGAGTTGTCATAATATCTTTTTGCATTCAGTAAAATAACTTTTTGATGAGATAATGTAAATTTTAACAAAAAGGCAACAAAGCAATTTCTTATAGAGCATATGAACCTAATTCCCTGAATTTCTCCTTCTCTAATTGTTTTGCCTGTGCATCAGAAAAGATCCAGTTTCCATTTTCATTCCTGTTCACTACTTCCTTTTATCTTTCTCATACTTGCTGAAGGGTTTATTAAATAGTTTCTAAGGGCATATGCTTAGCAGTTGTGCCATACACTTTTATCCATGAATTACATAGCAGACCTTCCTCATATCTAATCTACATCTACCCTCTTTTAGGTTAAAACCATTGTCCTATCACAACAAGCCCTGCTAAAAAGATTGTCCCCGCTTTTCTTGCAGGCCTCCTTTAAGTATTGAAAAACCACACATTAAGATCTCCCTGGAGTCTTCCCTTCTCCAGACTGAACAACCCCCAACTCTTTCAGCCTGTCCACATAGGGGAGGTGCTCCAACCTCCTGATCATCTTCTTGGCCCACCTCTGGGCTCTCTTCAACAGATCCATGTCCTTCTTGTGCTGGAGATCCCAGAGCTGAACACAGCACTGCAGGTGGGGTCTCATGAGAGCAGAGCAGAGGGGCAGAACCACCTCTTTTGACCTGCTGGCCACACTTCTCTTGATGCAGCCCAGGGTATACAGTTTGCCCTCAAGATAACCACCCATTTCCTAGTATTCAAATGAAGGCAAAAAAGAGACAGAAGCATCTTCAGGATGCAGCTCTGGAAACGGATGGTTTATTCCCCCATGACCAGGGTGATGACCGTTTTTCCTTTTTTCAAGGGCTGTGTACAATTGTGAGTACTAAGCATCATTGCCTTATTTGGAGGGCTTCTGTGACACCTTCCCTCCTTCCCTTCCTCTATAGGGCCAGGTACTTGTAACTTGGACTGTTTTCTTTTACAGGATCCACGCTGAGGAGCTATCTGTCCCTTTCACTTCTATCTCTCTAGCCAGCAGCTCATCCTACAAAAGTGACTGCTGAGAGATGGTGACTTTGCATTCTTACTTGTTCTCACTCAGTTCAACCTTGCCACCTTTAAAGGGGAACTCAAGTGATGTTAGGAAAACATAAATCCTGGCTTCTAACCTTTTTGGCACCTGACCAGCAATGTCCACAGGCACCAGGTAAGAAGACCTCAGGGAAAAAACACTAAGATGTGCCTTGGAAGTTCTGTCATCTTACCAGTTACTTCTTCAACAGGCTAGCATAAGCTATGGCCTCTTGTTGCCTCTGTTTTGCTATCTTGGCCAATTCCCTTCAATCAACTTCTGGCTACTCCTTACTCCCAAGAAACCCCTTTGCTTTATCTTGCTTCCATGTAATTAAAGAACTGGAGCAGAATGAGTGCTCTGCCTGTTCCCCTAGACTCTAGTTCTTCTTCAAGAAACAACATTCACAAGGTAGGCATTGAGAGTCGGCAGAGCAGCATCACTTTCAATGCTTGCTGTCTGTCAGCACTAATACAGCTACACCATGAGCTGTGGCACTGAGGCAAAAGTTCTGAGGCTGCACCAGAGCCCTTTGAACCAATTTCACATTTCCTTAGAAAGCCATTGATAGAAATCCAGGCTACAACATGATTTGGGGGATAAACAGTCTACTTCCCAGCCAGTTTGTTGGTCTGCAATGTACCTGCTTTCACACCTTCAGAAGCATCCATTTCCCACTGAGACAGGAGTCATTCCAGTCCAGAGCCACTTTGGTGATTCTCTGCAGCAGTTAGGCTCCTTTAGAATGTGCTGGAGCTGGTTTTTCTACACCAAAGACCATGACGTATAACAAGGTTGGCTGGAAAAGGAGACATCTTTCACAAGAGACAACTTGGGAAATTTCTCAGGCTCCAGCTTTTTTGATTCTGTACCTTGGACCTATTAATGATCCTCAGAACACTTCCCAGAATAACTGGATTTAATTTCAGTGGATGTGTGATCCAAAGGAACAGATTCCTTCGTGGGAAAGCAATGAGGAAGCTCTTTTGAACAGAGCCATTTAATGGAGAAGCTCTTCTGGGCCCAAAACTCTGAAGATCTGTAGTTGTTTCTGAAGAGAACATACAAAGTGATTCTCTTGGCCAGTGAGGTTCAAGCAGTGACTGTTGGAATTCTTTATCCCTTGGCTTCTCAAACATAAGTTTCAGTTCGTCCAAGGCTGTTTGATGAGGTGGTCTGTGACATCGGTCATTACATCTGCTTCCCCAGCTCATCCAGAAGCAATCCCTTGTCCTTGGGGTGACAATGCCCAAAGTGCTTTGGGAGAGCTCTGTGCTTCTGTGCGCTTATGCTATGGACACAGTTGGTCTCTCCCCTGATATTCCACACCAGTGAAGCATCTAGAAAACGTTGTTGAACTGTCACTAAGGCCTTGTTTGACAATGACTTGACAACTATTAGTAGCTTCTCTGCATGACAGATGTTTGATAACTGCACAGTTGCCACTTGGCTGTCTTCCTCCAACACAAGACACTGTCCTCTGGCTAAAGCAATTGGAAATAATATTATAACACTGATTTTTTTTATTTTTTTTTTTAATTTTTTTAGGTAGGATGTAGTTCTGTATGGATCCAAACCTTCTCTGCATAATGTCTTGGAGTGTCTGCTTTATATCACTGAAAGCACAGTTGATGTGTCGGTGCTCCCAGGCTTACCCGCCTGTGGCTGTAGGTAATGATGACATTGGAAGTAGAAGTAGGGGGTGGTGAGGACTGCCTGCATGCAAGGAGCTGGGGCTGGGAGAGCACTGAGGAATACAACAGTATTGCTACAGTTTAAAAACAAGTCTTTGGATAAAAGCTCTTCCCTGTAACCATATCCTAAAGAGTAGCAGCTATAGGTAAGTAATATTGCTGGTTTAGTATTTTTAAGTGCTTTGAATAGTGACAGTGTAAGATTGTCTTCGATGTCTTCGAGCTATGTAAGATAACTTGTTAACTTCTCTGAGCTTCCTTGAAGTTGCTTTTTCAAAGTTATTGCAGGAGATGTTGTGCAACAGGAATCAGGTGTTACTTCTTTTTGCTTTCAGTTTTTCAACTGTGTCCCTCACCAACTGTAAATGTTGAGACGGGAGGGTAAGGTTAGGAGGATGACTAGCAATTCCAAACTGAAGTGCTTTTAGCACACAAATGAAAGACTATTGGTGTTAAATGACCTCACTAAGCAGAGGCACCTATATATCCATAGCAGCTAGATATAGTTTATTTTTGTAGGGAATTCATGGAGGAAGACTCAGTACTGAACACAAATGTGAAGAAGTTCTATTTGAAGATGGCCTGAGGATACCCTGAAAGGAGGCGGCAGCTAGAAAATAAAAACGTAAAGCAAGGAAAAAAGGCTATGGCCGTGAAGTGGGAGGGACCCCTGAACTGTAGAAAACTAGAATACAGAAATAAAACCACCACCCCTTTATAAAAAAGCTGTACAAAAGCAAAGGAGACTAGAAAAGTTGATCTGATATTTTTACTTAGTTTTAAATTCTGTATTAAAAATTAATACATTAAACTCTTATAAAAGTAAGGCACATGCAAAACATGTTGTGCAACTTCTCACTTCCAACTGTTTTATAAACTAACAAGCATTATTTTAAATTTGGCATTTCTAAAGACTCATTTTTCCCCATGCAGGATATGTGGAAGAAGGTTAAGTTTTGACATTGCACCAGTTAAATCTAGATTCTGTGCTTTCTGTACTACAGTAAGCAGAGATGGTCATATCATACAGTAATACAAAATAAAAACAACTCATGTACAGATCCTGGAGGTGATGGCCAACATACAAAATTTAAGAATGTGAAGTTATATCCCTTATAATACATCAAGAACTTTATTCAGTACATGATGATGATTTGGCAGCTCCAGTCTGTGTAACACCAGTGCACAATTCGTAGCTGTCAGTGTCATACGATGCTGAAGACCATGGAAAGATATTGCTCATATGACACCTGAATCCAGCCATCTTGATCCGTATCGTATCGTCGAAACACATCAGTCAGCCTCTGAAAAATGGTGAAAAAACATCCATATATTGTTGTACCTCAGGAAAGTTCAGGCTGCCATGTATTCCCCTTAGAATCATAGAATTATTAGGGTTGAAGAAGATCATCAAGTCCAACGTTACCTTCCCACTTAGGTTTCTGTAGCTTTATTGAACGCTTTCTGTTCGTTGCCTCTGCACACACTTTACCATCTCGTGCACAGAGGCAGCTCTTTTCCACATCTCATGCACGAGCTGTGTAGCAGATCTGATTCTAAAACCACCTTCTGATACACCACCTAAGGCTGTCTAGGCATTTCTTTATAGACCAGATGGCTTTTTATAACTGGCTTTAAAGTGAGAGAAAACCAAGGCATGATTCTTGTGAGACATTTGAGAGTCATCTGGAGACAGAATCTGATGAGCACTTTGTCCATTTCTCATCTTCTAGCCAAATATGCTTTATGTATTGTTAGTATCTGAGGTGTCTCTGTATAACCCCAGAGATGTCAGGCAGTACGGACAGTGGACCAAAATAATGACCAGCATGGTTTCACTAACACCAGCTGAATGATACTCCATTCCAAAGTCCTCTTTGCCAGAGTTTAAGTTTATAACTAAGTATGGTGGCTTATATTAAAAATTAATATAAAGGCAACTGATGTTTCAGCGACTTATGGTTATAGACATAAAGCTAACAAGGAGAAAAACAAAACCTCTGTATGCAAAGGAGAGATACTGTTTTACGGGACACTCCTTTCTCTTGATGTTGCTTATCAGAAGATACTGTAAGATGCTGTTGCAATGCTGGCCCATGTGAGAAGAGCAACCTTTTTCCTATCCTCCTAAAACTCAGCTTGTCCGGTGCTACAGTTTCCCACATTTTCCTCAAGCTCTTACATACATCTCAGAACAGTCAGCTACTCTTAGAGAAATCTTAAGCTATGAGGTGAGGAATCATCCAGTGATTGATTTCTAAACAAAAGAATACACCTGTAAAACGATAGTTCTCTCCCATATATATATATATGAGAGACATAATAAGCATATAAAAACACATACAAAGATACATTTCTGTTACTGTTTGTTTGCAACATCATTCACTACCATTGCCTCTGCAGGAACAGCAAAGACTGAATAATTCAGCTGTTACGTCAAATTGCTTTTAGTCAGAGCCTTAAATAGATATATACCAAACCTTCACAATTCAAATTATGAGAATTATGGGCACCATGGGACAGGACACACTCCAGTTTTAACACACAAGATCCAGACGATGTGTGTTAAACTGATGGAAATAGTGATAAATGTTCTCCTTTTTAAACACTATTTTACATTTTTGCTCCATAGAAGTATTTAACAGGTCAAAAAAAAACAAAACCCAAAACATCAAAGTGACTTGTCATGCAACTGCATAACAAGTGAAGACCACTAAATGAAGATTTTTCTAGCACCTCTCATACCCTGTACTCAAATGGAGTATATATAAGCAAGTTCACAATCCAATATTATAGCTGAGAACCATAAAAGTTCAAGGCGTTTTTTTTTCAATTTACATCAAAGTACATCTCCTTTCTTACCTGTAAAACAACACAGCACTGAATAAAGTCATCAAAAGCAACTTGTCCTCTCCCTTGTCTGTCAAATTTCCGAATAAGGATATCATAGAATTGATCAGACAGTCGGTAACCTTGGAAAAGAGAAAGGCTTTAAAAGGTTTCCAATTACTGCAGTCCTTCTATAAAAAGAACTAGGCTGTTTAGCAGGCATGTATAACAAAACCAGAAAACAGTAACGAGTTACAAGAGATGATTTTTTTCCCCCTGATCTCTCTTGCGTTAAGCTAAAATGCATGCAGTTAAAAACCATGCTTAATAGTAATTACAAACAGAGTCACGGTGACTAGTTGGCCAAGGGAATGGTTCAGGGCTGCAATTCAAGTTTTTGTAAGTGAAGTCGATTAAATCAAAGTTCCTTTTGCCATCAGAATGCTACTGTAGCGCAGAGGGCCGACTTTGTTTTCAAAAGCAGCAAGCTGTCCCTTTGTAAGTTCAGACCTTTACCTAAACTATTTGTAGTGCTCACAGAAAACATCCACCCGTGTATTGATCCAGCCAGTTTCTTTTTTCCATTAAGGAAAACAGATGAAAAGTGCTTGTGGCATGAATATCTTTAAAGGTACTTTATGCCTAAAAGGATAACTGCATTTCACCTGCCTCATTTTTAGTCGTATTTGTTGGAGCAGTACAGCCTTAGCAAGAAGCAGCTCATCTGATGACCTATCCCAATCATAAAAATTGTCATTGCAAATGAATTACCAAAACCTGTTAGCGCTTGCTTTAGTTCATTTTTGTCAATCATTCCAGAATTGTCTCTGTCATATGTTCGAAAGACATTCTGCCAGTCTGTGATGTACTTCCAGACGCCGGTGAATTCATTGAAGTTCACACCACCTTTGTTTTCTCTGTCAAACATGCCTGAAGTAAAAAGGAAACACATATAAAACCTTAATCATACTACTCCTCCATAAGACCGCCTAGTATTTTAAGAAAGCAGCAAGAGCGCTTTGTGGAAATTACTAAGACAGAAAAGAAATTGCTAAAATACAAGTGATATTTTGAAAAGTTCTGCCAAATAAAAAGCAAGCAGTCATCTGCTGAAGGAAGAAGAGATAAAGCAAGATAAAAAAGGACCAGAATGAATCACAGAGTGTTTACATTTCCTGGGTTTTCGCTTCCAGTTTGAAAATACCTAGGGCTTGACTGATCATCAGTGACAAAAAGGGCAGAAGGGGGCGTTATTCTTTTCTAAGGACATATGGAAGTCTGAGCACTGACTGCCCAGAACGCTGGATAGTCAGTCACCTCTATCTGTCTTAATGATACTGTCAGCTCCGTAACAGCACGTCACACAGTGATGGAACTCAGACTGCTGCTGGATACTTATTAAAAATGAAGGAAAAAAACTGAGTCCATGGATTTATGAACTGTATTACAGATACGCTTGAATTTTTATCCTCCTGTTCTCCTACCCTCATTTTCCACATTACTGACAAGATTATTGGATTAGATTGCAAGACAGGACAAACTAGTTACGAAGACAAGCTGTATGTCTTTTCAGAATACTCAAGTTGTCATTTTTCCCACACATAAATTACATTTACTATCTATTCAGTCGTACAGCAGCATTTTCTAAGGCTACTACAAGTGCAGTTTTGTGCACACAAAAGGCATTCCTGCATTATTCAAAAAGCAAAATATTTTTTAACTTACTACTGCTGGGCTGTCTAGATGGAAAAAAAAACAGTGCAGCAATGCATAGCATTCTCAATCGTCTGAACATACCACAAAACAGTATCTTGACTATTTCACATTACACAACTGCACTCACCAAGAATTGACCTGACTGTTGCTGGATTAAATGGAGTCCACGTGCCTGAAACAGAAAGAATGACTTAGTTCCTCAACACTGAGTAGCATTTTAAAAAAATGCAACCAAAAAAATCAGGTAAGAACTGAAATAGTGAATTCCAAGCTAGATGACATGGAGCCAGCATATTATAAAACAAGGCTGCTTGGAAGTAATTATATTCTTGACGATTCAGAGATGACTTGAGACCAATGCTTTACAGATGCTAAGCGGAAACCTACATTTTTCAGGCTGCACCAAAAAAAACTACTCCAACACCTTAGAAGAACTAAGAAGGATTTTCTTCATCCCAGTAGTCAGGAGGTATTGAAAAAAAGGCAAGATCAAAACTGAAGAAGTCCCACTTTTTCTACTGCTGGGAGTGAAAGATATTTAAGTTATAACTCAAACTAGGTCTTATATTTATTCCTCGGTAAAACCCATCTCTTTATTTCCTGTTTTACAAGTCAATTACTCCAGGGTATTTAGTTTCTGACAAATGAAAAGAAAATGTTCCTAACGTGGCAGAACCAAACAGTGCAATTTAGAATTTAGTTTAGTCTAAAGTTCATCTCCACTGCTAAATCAATGAAGTGTTAGTTTAAATTAGTGTTTTCAGACCAAGAAACATTGCTGCTTGAAAGGGCCTCAGCAGTAATGATCTGAAGATGAACTTTGTACTTCTCTGAATATTTAGATGGTAGTCACTTTGGAATAGTTTTCGCTTGTTCCGGAGCACTCCAGAGCGCTAGGAAGCATCAAGCTTTTAATTAAGAGAAATACTGTTTTGCATCTGGAATTTCACCATCCATTCTTCAGAGCCCGGGAGGGTACCAGGAGCCCCAAGAAGCACGTATTAAATTCACTGAGGTCGAGCGCAGGGACCAGGAAGGGAGCAGTAGGACCAGGGTACTGTCGAGGCGTTTGCAGCGGCGCAGTGAGCTGACCACAGATAGCCGACAGAAAGGCAGCGCAAGTAGGGAGCAGGAGGCGCGAAGGCACGGCTGCTCCACTGGATCAAGCTGCGGCGGCATCAGCAGCGCTTATGCCAGCACCAAACTTCTCCCACAAAAGGGAAACTGGGTCAGTGTAAGTCTACAGAAGCGGCAACGGGGAAAAGCCCTGCACAGTAGGCAGGCTGTGTGACTATCTGCACATAAAGAGAAACGTAAGCAGAGGAGAGTTAAACTGCTCTGAAAATGCTTAAGCGGTACTTTAGACAGAGAACATCAGTACCTTAGAGTTGTATGTCTCCTGACAAAAATAGAAAATAATGGAATTATTAATAGGGTGCCAGCATTTAACTCTGAAAAGACTAGAGGAAAAGGGAAAACACAAATTGGAATTTAACTTGTTTCATGTTGGAATTTTCAAGAGACTCATAGAGACACTATATAGTGAAACCAGAGCAACTCCAGTGCTGAAGAACTGTACTGATTTCAGCCTGCTCCAATAAACAGTAGGAGACTGCTCTCCCTCCCCGACTTTACTGCCAATTTTACATGGCAGCACAGAAAAAAACCCCAAACCAACAATAACAAAAAAGATCACCCCCCCCCCAAAAAAACAGCACCAAACAAAACCAACCAACCAACAAGAAAAAAAACACTAAAAAAACCCCAAACACAAAAAGGAAGGATACTATATTACTGTGCAAACAACTATATGAAAAAGGCTGATTAGTCCCTCCCAGGTAAGTAGACTGTTATTTGCTTAGACTTGACATGTTGAAAAACTGAACGTCAATAACACATTGAACGTCAAATTTTAATAAGCACTATGCAGACGTGTAATGTTTTAGAAATAAACAGATAACATTCTTTTAGCCCATGTTAGATTGCAGGACAGATTCAACGACCTAGAGGATATATTTTGGAAAGAACATAGTGAATTTTCAGTGACTTTGGTGTACAAGGTCTAGGATCTCTGGGAACAAAGGAAGCTTACAGTTCTGTAAATATTTTGTCTAACAGGGAATTCACTTGAGGATTCTTCATAACTGCAAAGCACTGAAACTGCTAATCTACACTGTAAACAAGGAAAGAAAAGAGTTTAGATAGTCATTACTGCCTATTACCCTTAAATTCAATCAGCTGAGATATTTAAAATAGATGAAGTTTAAAATGGCAGGTGAAGCCAGGTTCCCACATCAAACAGCACTGTAATCATGAATAGAAACAGCGACTTAATTTAACTTAGCTTTTACTGAAATTGTTATTCAAAATAGTACTTTAGTTATGGATCACATGCAGCAGCTACAATATATTGCTTTTAATTTATCAGATATATTATTAACCATATTCTGGTAAATCCAGTTTAGTAACAAGACCACAATTTTACAAAATAGAGCCATCCAACTTTATTTCAAGTCAGGTTATTACTGACAAAAAGGAGCCTTTTAGTCTGTCTGTTGCAGCTCACAACGTCAGTTTAAGTCCTTCTCAGTCACAAAACACAGGAAGGATGAAGGAATTAAACCCTGGTAGAAAGGGAACTTGATATTGACTCAAAGGTGCACAAACAGCCTCAATATGCACTTTTTCAGATTGCTAAGAGGAAAAAAAACCTAAAAAACCCCACAAAATACAACCCTACCCACCCTAAGTCACCAGAGGAATGTAAAAATAGGCTACTGGGAAAAATTGTCAATCTTTCCTTTCCTTCACAAGTTATTTGACCATGCCCTGGTTACTCTTGAAGCATTATGTCAGGGAACTGGTAGACTACTAGAAATTTTTAATACTAGACCTAGAGTGCAGCTTTCTACCTTGTTAGGAAAATATATGAACATACCTCATATGGGGAAAGAAAAATAAAATTTAAAAATTACCACCTTCCATTCCTGCACTGTACTGTATGAAAATATTTTATGCACAGTAAAAAGGCTGGTTGTATGCGGACCCCCTACATTTCACAGCTGGCTGTGCTGGCAGTGCTGCATTGCAAAATTAAAGACACTCGTCCCTGAGCTCTTTTCTGAACAAGTACATAACTCTTGCTTGCTTATAATGAAAAGGGACCATGACCAGCTGAGTATAGGTCACGTTGGGAGTTTGTTCGTAAAAACAGACAGACAAGACGCATCTTGGACCCAAGATGTGCATGGGAGGGAATGGGAGAGTGTGATCAAAACAGGCCTAGGAACATGTGGTCTCCCTGTTTGATGGGAGAGTGATTGAAGGAGTACAGGAGCTGGTAACAACCCTGGCTGCAAGGTCTGGTCTCCTGCTTGTAACCTATAAATACTGCTTCTTGCTAATAAGCTTTGTCTTAGCTTCTCTTGAGAGCTGAGTCCGTGCCTTTCAGTCTGCCACAGTTGTAAACAGGTGAGCATTGTCCAGGTTATATACTGACACTGGTTAAAATCCAAAGGTTGAGTAGTGATAAGCAAGGAATATATAAATCACTGTTCATGTTTTCTAGGAAGCAGAGCTGGAAAAAAATACAGGGATGTGCATGCCTTTGTTCCCCAGAATACAAACCAGTGTTTTTTTACAATAAGTGCTCTGTTTATAATGCACTAACGAGCACCAAACCCAGACGACTTTCCTTGAAATAAAAAAAAACCCCACAACCGGGAACAATTTTTTCCCCCCCCCCCCCCCCCCCAAAAATAAAATCAGGAAGACTGTCCTTTTTTTTTTTTGCCCTTCACACTTTTGCTGTAGATTAAATAGTATTAATCAGTGGCAGGAACATTCCTCCTGCCCCCACATTAAGGATTTATGGCACCAAGTAACTGCCTGCACATGAAATTTAACATTAAGTTTACAATGAACTATCTCACTGCTCATTTTACAGACTTACCATTGGATAATGCCTGCTGAAGTTCGTTATCAGATATTATTCCACTCCTATCTTTATCAACCCTAGAGGGGAAAAAAAAAAAAAAAGTGGCAAGCTTTAAATGGCAAAAATTAACAGGTTCCACTTCGAGAAGCCTCTAACATTCTGGTTCTTACCAGGTAAGATTAGCCTTTTCCTGAAAAGTTACTAAATGCATTTTACTTGGGAAACCCCTCACAGTGAATGCAAATTAAATGCTCCATTCAGACTGATGAGACATTCTGGAACTTTACAAAAGCTACAAAGACAACTGGACAATTTAGGAGTGAAGAGAGATGCACAAACACACACTGACAATAAAACAGTTTAGGCATACTCCACACAAGAAAGTATTTTTATTAATTTATTTTTACAAGAGCTGCAGAGCACACCATGAGGGTTAAATCCAAAAAATGCCTCATGTCACAGCAGTAAGCTGTTTGGCTCCCAAACTGGAGCCCCAAGTTTCGCACCCAGCTTCTCTCAGGAAGATGTTGGCAAAGGAGAGAAAGCCACTAATGTAACCAGAGCAAAGTTAAGTATAAGAACTGACTGCAAGGCCTTGACCCCTTTTCAAAGGAGTTCAAAAAGTGAAAAAGCAAAGGCAGGTGCCAGCTTCCATTGAGCTTCAGTCTACTGGAGAATGGAATTCTATCCTAAAATTAATAAATTAAGTAATAACTGCCCAAATAAAGCAGGATCATGCCTTCTTTAGAAGAATAGCTGAAAGTGGTGGGGACTTCCCTCCATGTTATACAATGATGACCTTCCACTTGACACTGACAGTTTTCATTTCCCCTCAGCACTATTCCAGAGCAGAGTCCTGCTCAGCTGATCCCTCTGCAGAAGCTGGGTTTTGTTTTTGTTTTTGTTTGGTTTTTTTAAATCTTTAGTCCTTGTTGTCCTCTTCTAAACCCTTTCAGTTCCTCCTACTAGATTATTTGCCCATGTCAAAAATTATATAAACCATATGCAACATTCAAACTGCAAGCATAAGCTGCAGAAATTTGTTACCAAACAAAAAGATAGTGTCCTTTTTTTTATTCTCTCTTCTCTAGGTATTCTAAACATTTTTTGCCTTCTATGAGCTGCCAAGTGCTACAGCAATATTTTCATAAAAATGCGTTATGACCTACTTATCATAGTCCTGAGCATCATGAGTCAGCTTAGAGCACATTCATTTTATATACAAAATGATTATACAAAGTTAAAGTGGGTCTTCCTCGTGGACATCGTTCCTGGATTTCATCTGACCACCACAGCTGAGCGATCACCATCTGGCCAGGACCGGGTGCTACAGCCCAGTCATTCAGGTGCTCCTGCAGCTCTTCACAGGCCTCACTTACTGCAGGAACTGGTCAGTGTCACCAGCAAACTTCATCTGACCATTCAATCATAGAATCATAGACTGGCCTAGGCTGGAAGGGACCTTAGAGATCATCTAGTCCAACCTCCCTGTCATGGGCAGGGACGCCTCTCAACTAGATCAGGCTACCTCTGCCTGCAGCTCCTCCAGAACACAGTGAATAAATATCCCAGAACAGCTCCATCTGTCAGTGCAGCAGATGACCACATGCTCTTCTTTTCAGTCAGTTATTTATCCACTAAAGGACCTTCCCTTTCATTCTACACATGCTGGATTTCTTTAAAGGCCTTGGATATTTCTGACTGTTGAGAGTCTCTTTGGAAACTACAAATTATATCAATTGCACCGGTTCTAGCATCATAACCATACCCAATCTTTATGGAATGTATTCCAAGACTCAGAAAGCAGTGTGCCAGAGAGGAATACTTGCATTAAAAGCTCTGCAACTCTCCTGACCAGCTACATTACTTAAAATGGTTTCTACTGCTTGCCTGGTGCAAACAGTGGATTTCTTTCTGGACTCTTTAAAAAAAGAAATGGCATCACACATACCTCCTCCAAGCCCTTCGATGAAGCGGTTTTATGGAAGGCTGGGTAGGTAAGCTGCCACATTCTTGAGTCACTAAGCAAACAGTAGCCAGTTTTAGCAACATATTACTGTTTGTCAACTCCTTGACCTCTTCTTGCTGTCACTTGAGTCAAGATAGATCCTCTGACACATCTCCCATGAAAATGCATCCAATATAGGAACCTCCTCAGCTTACTTGATGTGACAGAAACTTGAAGAACTCCTTCAGCTTCTTTACTACCGTGATGTCAACAGCACGTTTTTCAACATGGTTTTTTTAACACTTCCTTGCATGTTCCTGCTCCAGGTGTATCGAAGGGAATATCTGTTGGTAGCTTTCAAGTTTCCCATTAAGCACTTATCAGATTCCTTTTTACAAGCCCTCCTGTACTGCTACACTGATCCTCCAGCCTTTAGAACCTTTTCTGGATTCTCAGGTCAAAATATGACTCCAGCATTTTCAAGGTTACCTTCTCGCTTCCATTAATCCCCCTCCCCTTGCTCTAAAACGCAGCCATACTTATCCCTCCTTAAGCCTTTACTAAAGCTCCCCGTCACGTTTCTCCTACAGGGATACAGCCGCGACGTCTCCCCGCACCGCCAGGCCCAAGGCGGCCGAATCCTGCGCTGGGTGCCGGTGCCGGGCTCACCGCAGCAGTCGACCGTTTCCGGGCACCTCCCAAGGGCCGCTCCTCCCCGTCCCCGGTGCCACCTCCGCCACCGG